CTAAGCTACTGGGGTATGATTTCGAGATTCAGTATCGGTTATGATTGAAGAATAAGGAAGCTGACGACGACCCTATCGGCAAACTTGGTCCTCGATTGAGAAGCCTTGAAGCAAGAGAGCAAATGAGATAAGGAGTTGAGGAAGAGAAGATTTGAACTACTATATGACCCGAACAGTCATCCAGGATATGCGTTGAGCAGCAGCTGCACCACAATGAGCAAATTTATTCTCAGATTGCTACAATAGTTTCATGGCAGTGTGATCGGGTGACACTCAAGGGTACAGAAGACCTACGGTCGTATAGCGGCAGAACTTTATTAGGTGGGGATGCGTAGAGACGTCGAGGATATGGTGGCAAAATGCGATGTATGTGAGCGACAAAAGTACTTGATCACAACCCCAGGAGATTTAGTACAACCATTCAAGAAAGGTTTGGGAAAAAGTGATGATAAATTTTATCGATGGGTTGCCACGGTCAGAAGGGTTCATGGTGATCATGGTGGTCGTAGATCATCTGAGTAAGTATACACATTTTATTCTCTTACGACATCACTACACTATGGTCTCAGTCGTCGTGGTATTTATCTGGGAGGCGTTTTGTTTGCACGGAGTGCCAGAATCAATAGTGTTGGATAGGGACAATATGTTCCTCAGCCACTTCTGGAAGGAGCTATTCAGGTTGCAAGAAACAGCCCTTAAGAAGAGCACCGCATATTATCCCCAGACCGATGGGCAGACAGAGGTGGTCAACAGCAGAGTGGAGACATACCAGCATTGTTTTGTATCTAATAAGCTGAAGCTATGAGTCAATTGGATTGCGTGGGCCAAATATCGGTATAATACTTCGTATCACACCGCAGCACAGACCACCCTTTTCAAGATATTATATAGGCAATATCCACCTCACTTGATACATTATGGGCATAACGCTACACCGATATCCAATGTCAATCAGTACTTGAAGGAGAGGGACAGGATACTAGCAGAGCTCGAGGGGCATTCATTAAGAGCTCAACAAATCATGAAGAGGAAAGCAAATGAACACAAGAGAGAGGTGCAATTTGAACCAGAAGACATGGTGAGGTGCAGTTTGAACCAGAAGACATGGTTTACTTGAAGTTGAAACTCTATTGATAGAAGACATTGGCTAGGAGGAGAAAAAAACTTTCATCGCGATACTTTGGACCATATGAGGTGATTGCACGGATCGGAGCAGTGACTTATCGTTTAAGGTTACTACTGTCATCTGCACTACACCCGATCTTCCAAGTGTCAAAGCTGTAAGATTGGAGATCATGCACTCTCGTCTACACTACCGCCGACGCTAATGGAGGAACTGGAGATTTTGGAGCCATTAGAAATCGAAAGAGTGCACCAAGGAATAGGGGAGCAAATTAAGTATTGGTTAAGTGGAAAAGACTGTCAGACTATGAAGTAACATGGAAGTTTTATGAGATGATTCACAAGCAGTTTCCATCCTTCCACCTTGAAGACAAGATACTTTTTGGAAGGGGAGTAGTGTTATGCCCAGACTTGAGCAAGTCCATCCTGGACAAGCTGAAAGCAACCCAGTCGGACCGCAGGCGAGCCGGTCATTGCAGAGTGAAGAGACGGAGTGGTCAAGGCAGGCCGCAAAAGAAGAAAATAAGCGGGTGGGGTCCACTAGGGCCATAATCACATACTCAAGGAAGAGAAATTAGAGGAATTTAGAGGAAAAGTTTTGGAAGGAAAGTTTTCAAATGCTATGGGAGGACTCTATTAAGGAGAGGAACCTAGGGTTTGTTTTCCTTATGCATATTTTTGTTAGTTGTTGTGTTTTCTTCTTTTGGAAATGTTCCTAGCGACGTCTAAGGTTGAGAGCCGATCTACCTCTCAAAAAGTAGATCATCATTGTATCTTGCTTGTTTGCATTTTTTTTTTTTTGGTAGGAGCAGCCCTCATTTGAATTTCTTCATCCATCTATTGTCATTTCGTCATTATTGCTTGCAGATTTTTGGTTCCGGAGCATATCAGAGAATTGTGTTCCTCATAATGAAAACCAACAATTGAAAATCCTAACACGGCTTGCAACTCCCACAATATAATCAACCTCCCTAACCATTCAGGTAAGCATTACTGCCATAATTTTAGAACTCAACCACTCCTCAAGCCTATGAAATAGCAATACACTCATATTCAAATAAGGAGACATACATGGCCTATCACACCTGCATACAGCATACCAAATAGCTTCTCGATAGGCTCACTAGGTGGTATATTCACAAGTCTTCTCTAACTAAGCACTTTCTGCCAAACAAAAAAAAAACAGAACAAAGACAGAAAATTTAGTATTTTAAATGTACGCTAGATTCTCATGATAACAATTAATATGGTCTATTCTAAGGGGATTGAGCAGAGGGGGCATTTGTTAATACATACATTCGTGCCAAAAAGCAATACAAAATCATCCTCATCGAAATCAATTTTAATAGCTGATGTTTAAATGAAATGTCAAATTGGATAAATTTTAAACAACTTATTTGTAATGAAAAATGATCCGTTATCATCCATCTTGCAAAATGAATTCCTTCAATGCATTAAGAACTTCAAACCTGCATGTGAAATACGCCTTCAATTTTAACATTATCGCATGAGATACATACAAAATAAGAAAAAAGATTCAACATGCACGAGCGATAAAATATGTTTGAGATATAAAAATGCATGCACGTAATTATGTATATGTATCTCTATGTGTGTGCGTGCGCGCGTGTGTGTGCTAATTGAGATAATAATATTATCAAATTAATTTAGTATATATACATATAATTATTTTTAAAAAATTATTAAAAGGAAAAAAAAAAGTGGAAATTCAAAAATCCCTATTTGCTGCCACCTACTCTTTATGCACTAAACATCCTTCATATGTCATGGTTGTACTCTTCCCTCTCCTTTCCCAGGTGAAGGGCCATTACCTTCAATTTAAAAAACAAAATCTCTAAATTAATCGCTTTGCCCACTCCCTCTCGTTCCATCTAGCATTTCTCATCTCTCTTATCTCCCTACTCTCTATCTTTCGTCCGATTCTCAAGGGTAGTTTCAAAAATGGATAAGAGAAAAAGAGGGGATGATGAGAGAGGAGAAGTAGACTGGCAGGGCGTGAGATGAATGTGAGTAGAAAACAGAAAAAAAGAAGTTGAGGAAAAGGGTTATGTGCGTTGGATCAAAATGGAAATAGAAAAACTCAAGCGAGCTACCGAGGAGAATAATGAGGAGAGTTTGCAAAGGTATTGCGAATAGAGAATTTGAAGAGGAGTCAATTCACAAGTGACCAAGAGTTATTGAAGGCTGGCACCAGAGCAAGAAGTTAATGGGGTAGACAAGAATTAGTTTCGGTTATAATTTATTTTTTTAAAAGGAATTTGCATACATACCACATAATTCTTATATAATTACATATCTAATACTTAAACTTTTATATTTAGTTATATAACGTCCAAATATTTAGAAAATGTAAATAATGTCACTAATACTAATTTATTTAAAGTGAAATATAGCTTTCATCCATACATATTTATGTGATTGAGACATTAACGAATTATATTAATAAATATGAAGGTTTAGGGGTTAGATATGTGAATGCATATGAATTGTGATGTGTACGTAAACAATCCTTTTTTAAGATGGGATAGAGAGGGATGGGATGGGACATTGTGTGGTGTTAATGAAAGACATGTATGATGCAAGGTGCATGAAGTTTTAATTGATTAATAATAATAGCTAAAAAAACAAGCTTTAATAGTCTTTATTATATGTATGTATTTATGTAATTCCCTCATTTATCTTAACTTCTTTTTGCCAGCTTGTGTAAGTAAATCTCTCACATTCTCTCATTCAATGAAATAAATGATTTGGGGTATCTTTTCTAGATATTTCAGCGATCGGAAAACAACCATGGGATTTATCATGTATGATGAACAACATTTGAGTGATAATAATTTGTGATGGGTCTTCAAGCCGATCTTATGCGATGTCACATCTCTAATCCATCATTTGTTTGAGTCAACCTCAAGGACCCTTTCTCAGTAATTTTACTGATCTTGATATGTTTGCAGAATCCATTTTATGAAAGAATAATGTTAAATCAATTTCAATGTATGCTACACATTTCAATCCAGTGTTGTCAGACGATGCATCAGTTATCCGTTGCTTTTGTTATGTTTGATTGAGTTGCAGGGTGGAAGATATCTTGTGGTCAACAAGTAATGATCCTATCTACGTAAGGCTCCCCCTCTGTAAGTTAAGGAAATGAGCCTTATTTCGATAGCATGATGCAGCAAGCTGAGATCAGAAGGATCAGAGTATCAAATTTGTTGGGTGATATATTCTGAATGAGATGGATATTAATATCATTGAAAGGGGAAAATATTTAACTTCGAAGAAATTTGAGGTAACTAATCTCCTCCGGCACAACTCTACCGTACACTTATCGCTATTAAGAGGCCTATGTATAAAGGTTTTTACTTTATAGAGCCCATGCAAATTAGATGGAAGATTTGAGTGGCACTTTGATATCGAAATGGTGACCAGCCATAATGTCAATGCTGGAACCAATGCAAGATTTAAATTGCAAGCAGCCATTGATCCAAGGAAAGCCTAAATTGATTAGGTTCCATAAAATCCAAGAAGTAAAGGAATGGTAAAGCAAAGCTACCTGACTTCGCTAATTTTTCACAAATTTGTCAATAAAACCTTAATGTATTATAAACAGGCCACAAATAATATGATTGAAATTAAGATAGAGAATATACAGTTCATTTGAAAATTATTGTTGATACACAGTTTTCAACTCACTAAACAATTCTCAAATTTTACTTCTCTACAATAAGGCACAAGCAAACAAAGCATTTATTTAACAAAGAATGAAGAAGATAATAGACATGCAGAAATGCCAGGATTCTATGTAAAACAAAGGAATTATCTTTATGACAAAAACTCATGCCATGGTGTTTATTTCTTACCTGTGGATTTGTTTCTGCTGCTACTGAACTGAGTGCACCATCAACAATATAAATGTAATTAGCAAGCTCCAAATCCTCTTCTGAACGATAACAAACCAAAAGATCACAACCCACACAAGACATGCGGAATTGCTTTTCAAGTTTTCCCTCACCACTGAATAAGAAATATTCAAAGGAAAAAACTCAAGGTCAAATTCAATTTCAATTTGGGTCTCAAGTGAAATGCATGCAAGTCCCAACACAAAACATTAATGCTCATAGTTAAATAGCAAAATAGTTCTTAACATTAATTTCTACCAATCATATAAAAGAAATTTATCCACTTCGAGTCACTTAATTGACACAATCTACGGGTGTTGCCTAATTAGAGCAGTAAACGAGTGGGCACTAGAGTAGCTACAGCTGTTTCAACATCCAACTGATATGATATTTTAGTAATATATATTTATCCATACTACGATGAATAAATTGTTATTGGATGTACATGATATTTCAGCATTTGACTAATTTGGTGTTCAAACAAAGATTGGTTGATTTTTTTAAAAAAAGTAATTATATTTTCAGATATTAAATCAATTCATGCACTCATTCCCCAAAAAACTATTATGGGCATATATCCAGTCTACGAATATTTACATACAAAAATAACTTCTATTTTTTGCATGCTCAAAGTTGATATTTCTTACATTTTCTGACAAAGCATTTAAATAATATAGCGGAATTGAAAGACAACATATAAACAGTAAACACGATTCATACAAGCAAGCATACAAAAATATATCGTGCATCATATTAAGGAATCATTACTATCCTATTGACTGTGTGCATGTACAGGTCTATAACAGTACATTGGCTGTGTATTTGGATATGAAGTGACTTATTTGAACAGCATGGACAAGGGTTGATAAATGCACTCTACACCTATTATATCACAGAACTTGATTCCTTGATATTAATGGATAGCACTCCTTGTCACAATGGAAGACTAACTTGCCTCTTGGGAAATTTACATACATACCACACAATTTTTATGCATTTACATTCCTAATATTTAGTATAATATTTAAATCTATGCATGAAAAGATGTACTTCACTATTAAAAATCTAGTAATAATGATATTTTTGATGTGATGTTAAAGATTTGAGTTCTAGGGTTTAGGGTTTAGGGTTTTTATATATATATATATATAGGTTTAGGATTTAGGGTTTAGGGTTTAGGGTTTAGGGTTTAGGGTTTAGGGTTTAGGGTTTAGGGTTTAGGGTTTAGGGTTTAGGGTTTAGGGTTTAGGGTTTAGGGTTTAGGGTTTAGGGTTTAGGGTTTAGGGTTTAGGGTTTAGGGTTTAGGGTTTAGGGTTTAGGGTTTAGGGTTTAGGGTTTAGAAAGATTTGAGTTCTATATATATATATATATATATATATATATATATATATATTGACTAGTTTGAATGTAAATTAAGATTGAAATGTTAAAATATAAACTCAGGATTTCAAAAGTTCAAGAATCTAACATGAATATCCCAAGATTTTAAGAAAACAAATTCAAAGAATTAATGAAACTCAAGTGTTAAACATGGTTGAAAGCAGTAACATAATTTGTATTGAATCCAATCAAATCAAGTATAATCAAAGTACAAAGTAGAAATAAAGATACAAGATGACAAAATCTTACTTTCCCAAGAATGGATTTCTTCTCGATCTCTTCTCACTCTCCTTACACAATATATATATATATATATATGTATGTATGTATGTATATATATATATATATATATGTATGTATGTATGTATGTAAATGTATGTATGTATGTATATATATGTATATTAGGTATTAGATATGGAAATGCATGAGAATTGTGTGAAATCTATGCAAATGCCCCATGCCTCTTTGTAAATATTAAAAGTTTAAAATGTCAAAGAGACAGAGAGTGACAAGAAACAGCAGGCATGTGATTTTGATCTTAAAATGAGGATAACAAATCCACACCCTTAATAAAAGTTTAAGCGCCTAAGCGCTCAGGTGCAGTGCCTAGGCACTAAAACTAATCTAGGATTAGAAACAAATTGGCGCCTAAGCGTCAAGACAGAGCGTGAGAGAGACAATGTCTAAGGTAGAAAACATAGGGACCGCCATTGTAGAAGTAGAGCGCCTAGGCGCTATGCAGTGGCGTTGGGGCGCCCATTCCAGAAAAATCATGTATTGAGTATGCAATCGTGTCAATTCACATGAAACATTCAATCAAAGCACAACACATCACATTACAAATCAAAAGCTAAATCAACATAAATATAAGCAAATCAAACAAAAATAAAACAATTGGATTGCCTCTCAATAAGCATTTAGTTTAATGTTCTTAGCTTGACCAAACCACACACAAACATAATAAAGCAAGTGATCATGCAAACACACTGCAAGATAAAACTTGAGCTACCTCCCTAAGTAGCACTTGATTTAATGACCTTAACCTGACAAGGTTTGATTTACTATTTCAAAGCTTTTCTCTAGAATAATATATCCAGTTTATTAATCCCCGATTTATCGTTCAATATTTAAAATATCCTAGAGACACTCCTGATAAATTCTGTCGTGATCTTATATTCTCCTCTTTTTAAAATATTAAATCTTTCTTCTTTGAATTCTCATTTATAATTTCTTGTAACATTTATACTTCCACTCTCAAATATTGGTTAAAGGTATAAGTAAGGGGTGATATAAGATCATGAATTTAAAATTCACTTCCTCATTTTACATTGTTATAGTTAAGTCTTATTTTGTAAATCAATGTTCAACCTACCACTTGCAAGAAAAGATCGTCTGAAAATAATTGGGATCCCAGGATCATTCATCATATCTAACATGATGAAATCAACATAAAAGATGAATTTCTCTACTTTCACTGGGATGTTTTCTATAACCCCCTTGGAAAAATTAAAGAACAGTCAGCTAATTGAAAAGTCATGGTGGAAGTTTTAAGCTCTACTAATCTTAGTCTTTTAAATACTGAAAAAAATATTAGGCTTGTGCTAGCTCTTAAGTCACATAACGCATTTCTATTAAATCGATCTCCGGTAGTATAAGGAATAATAAATCTACCCGGATCATTCAATTTTTATAAAAGTTTTATTTGAATCATAGCACTAAAATTTTCAATTAACACCACAGTTTTGAAATTAGAAAATTTACCTTTCATGTTCAAAAACTCCATAAATTTTCTATAACTAGTAATTTGTTCAAGTGTTTCAGCACATAGAATGTTAATGATGATCTTCTTAAGCATTTCTAAGAACTTCGAGAATTATTGATCAAATTTCTACATAATCAACTTTTAGGAAAAATGTGGTGGTGGTCTCTCATGCTCTATCCTAAGTGTTTCTACAAGTCTATCAGGCTCTCCTCTATTCCAGACTTTGCTACTCTAGGTTCCCCAAGCACCTTCCCACTCCTCAATCCTATAGCATTGCAATGCTCCACATTCTTGTCCTTTGGATTGACCTCTATATTACTCGATAACGTTCCTTGGTGTCTCTGGTTCAATGAGTTAACTATTTGCCCAAGTTGTGTTTCAACATTCCTAATAGCTGCAACATGACTTTGTATTTGATTTCCTATGATAAGTACTACTTAAAAAAATAGTTTCTTTTACTTATACTTGGAATTTGAAGTGAATCCAAGTGAGTAAGTCGGCCTAAGATTGCCACTACCCTGATTATCTTAATCAGCTATTACATTGGTTGTCACTCCACTGTTGGGTTTCTACAAATTGATTGTTATATTATTCTAGCTAAAGTTCGTGTGATTTTTCCAGTCTGGGTTCTAGGTGTTAGAATACAAGTTATTGAACATATTGGTTATAGCATTCATGAATTCTACAGGCATAACATTAAAATTAAATCATTGTTTATAAGCATTTTCCTTTATTATTGTTAATTCTGGTGTAGAATTAACCCCAAATTGTCCAACTTCCTAGAGATAGCAACTACTTAAGATGTTAAAATTACTAACATGTCTGTATCATGCATACTGCTATCTTCCTAGGGTTAACTCTATCTGATTAATATTAAAAATTATTTTATCGTCATCTCCTCAAATGGTGTATATGCCTCCTCAGATGGCTTAGACAAGAGTGATCCCCCAGGTGCAGCATTTATTATGGACCTCAATAATCCCACCAGCTCGTTATAAAATATTTAAATTATGAGCCAGTCTAGCAAGGCGTGGTAGGGACATTACATTTCCTAAGCTGCTCCTTAAATCTCTCTCAACTTTCATAAATCGATTTTTCATCTAATTGGGTAAATGAGGTGATATCATTCATAAGTTTTGTCATTTTGAATGAAGGGAAACATTTTGCTAGAAAATTTTGAGCAAATTCATTCCACGTGGTAATAGATCCTGGTAATAAGAAAATGAGCCACGTCTTAGCCTTCTTCCCAAGTGAGAAAGGAAAAATTTTAAATCTAACAGCATCATTAGAGATATTTTTTATATCAAATGGTAGCACACAGTTCAAGGAAGCTAGTCAAATGTAGGTTAGGGCTGGATGATCCCCCAAAATGATTATTTTGTATCATCTGAATAATGGTAGGTTTGAGCTTACAAGAATTGGCTTCTACAACAGGGCTATCGATGCTTAAGTGAATCTCTTCTACCGATAGATTGAAAAGTTCCCAAAGCAGTTTAGTCATGACATGGGGTCTTAGTGCATTGTATTCTCTTCCTGAAATATGTTTGTCATCTCTCCTAACTTCTTTTTATGTCTTTTCAATTTTCTATAGTTCAAGGTCATAGAGTACTAAATCCAAAATTTCAGTCCTAAGCATACACACCTAGGACAATTTAGTGAAGCGGCCTGAAACTAACAAAGTTAATAAGTCACAATCAAACAGTTCATAAAAATAAAACTAAGCAAAAAACATACTGAAATATTAAAACAAACAAAGCCCACAATTTTCACAATAATGAAAAAGCAAAAAAAAACATGAGCACTAAATTAACAGTAAAATAGAAAGCACAGAAAAGAATCAACCATCATCAGTTACAGAAAGAATTATTAATAAAATTTGATGTACTTTGATGATATTGGTTGGTGATTTGGTGGCTTCAATGCCATCTTTATTACTCTGATCAATCAGTCTTTCTCTTTTAATCTACAACAAGGGGGTCTTCCTAGTAGTCCTGAATGTGAATTGTTCGTGGATTTACACCACCTAGACAACTCTTATTTTTCTTAGGGGAAGAAGTGAAATATAATCTCAACAAAAGCAAGGGTTACTCTAGAGAGCCAACACCCCTCCCCTCTCTCGTCCTTTTATAGAGTAGAGGATGACTGATTCCCAAGAAGTATACAAAATGACTACACAAAGAAAAAACACTTATATTGACTAAAGTAAGGTATTGCCTCCATTGGTGTAGTTGATCGTGTTGAGGAGATATGAGAATGGATGATGAAAGGCTTGATGAACTAAGGTGAATTAGAGTAATAGTTATACCACTGACGAATGCGTCATTCTAGGATTTTTTTAGATATCTTTATGCCTGATGCACGCTCAATTGATACTTCACAGTTGGTAGCAAATTGGTACTCGACACCAAGGCTTCGGTGAATTAGGCTGACTTAAAAGGCCCATTAAGTCATGTTGATATCCTTGTCAAACTAATTGGAATTAAGGCCTTTACCGAGTTGAGGTGAGGCAACGAAGATTTTTGAATTTATATTCTTAGTAGATGCGAAAATTCTTCGAATATACCTGAAAAATTCCCCTCTCTATCACATGTCTGGGATACTCCTTGTGTTCCATCAATCCATGGTATTTATTGATATACAATATGCTTTTAGAAAGCTATGAGCCTACGACCCATTATGCATGTATTTGCTTAGTGTTTTAATATAAATGCTAGTCCTACTTGTCATGTTTTATATAAGTTAGTATTGAAAAGTTTAGTAGTATCACCTGTTTGCCAAATCAAAACCTTATCATTATCACCCTTTTTGTTGGTTTTCTCATAAGTAGTGCTTGTGCACTTCTTAAAGAAAACCCTATACTAGTAATGGCATCAATTCACTCTCCATCAAAAGATGATACTAATAAAGTTTTGATTTAAAAAAGAGAAATTGCCTATCATTTATCTTACTGGCGTTGCACATCAATTTCATTCACATGCTTGAGAGTCACTTCAACTCCTTGAAGGAGAGTTATTTAGCATGCGGGAATTGATGGTCGGACATCAATGAAGTCGCATAACCTAAAACATCCAATCTAATCAAGGGCCAAATTATTATATTTTAGTAGATTTCTTACATCGTTTTATCTTTCATGCCATAGTTGTCATTTTTTCTTATTTACACAACGAATATTGTTAATATTCTAATGAATTGTTAAGCCAACTGGTAATGTAGACCTTATTCCATAAATAAGTTCACTTGAGGTTGAAGTTCCCTTTTTATTAGTATGAATTATGATTTTCTCAAGAAATGGCTACCTTCCTCTCTTCCTCGATAAAAAGCCATCTCTTTCATCTTCCCTTCTACCCCCAATCTTCCATCATCTCAGTCTCCCAACTCATTCTCTCTACCAAAGCTTAGCTAAAGCAATCTCATTTGAATTTACGTAGCAAAATGGCCACTGATCAACTAAGTAAAAAATCCTTTTAGCCTGCTGAAAACGGTTCATACAACACCCCCTAAACCTACACGACCGAACTAGTATTCAAACTTCCTAGTTCACAAAAGAAACCCAGAACAACCCAAAATTTTCCATTTTCTAATTGAAATTTACACAGTAACTTCACTGTGATGTGAGACAGAAAAACATAAACAGCATTCAGATTCTCTGCTACTGCCAACGAAAACATTCCCCGACTTCTACTGCATTAATATGTTTACACTGTATTTTTTTCTCTCTAATCCCATAAGTTACCCAATTTGGTCTAGCATCAATGTTTGAGGTTGAATGTAGCAATTAGAAAAGGTACTTTACCAAATTATCAAGTTCTTTTATGTAACAAAACAATGATCTACCACACAAAAAAAATATTTAGGCATATTGTCAATGTATTTGAGATAACTAGATACATGTCCCTGCAATTATGATTGCTTTGCAAATTATATTCTTCTGCTAAATATGCTTAGAAATGATCAATGACTGTAACTAAGCTTCATACTCTAACTCTTATTTCATTATACACTAACTATCTATTTCCAAGATCGAATTCTAACCCACGCCTTCTTAAATCAAACCCTTCCCCGATATTTATAAAAAATTACTTGGTTGTTTAAGTAAAGTGGCTTCAATTTTATTTCTATCATGTTGGTTTTGTACCCTCTATTCATCAATTTTGTTCTTCATTATTCAAACATTATGGAATTCTTGTGATTTTAACGACCAATTGCTGAAAAGGGCTGAGGCCTTATGCCCACCCAGAACGACATTCAAGGCCATGAACTAGTTGGTACCCCCAATTGACAAGAGTTGAGTTAATTGAATTAATAAAAGGAAAAAAATGGTATTTCCTGATTGAAGGAGACCTCCAATCTAATTAACTGTTACCAACTAATCTCTTTGACTAATAATGGCCTTCATATTAGTCTTCAAGGATTCAATATAGAGAATATAAACACATGTTAGAAAACTGAGCTTCAGTGACTACTTCACAACTCAGGGCTAATATTTAGCAGTGATATCTTAGCTAGATTGTAATCCTAAAATTTCATCAGGAAAAATGATGTTTATAGGCTCTTAGCTACTGTTAAGGAAGAAATTTCGTTGCTGTACATTGTTAAAATAAAGACACGTTATATGTATAGTGTTCTTTAAGCTTCAGGTACTAAAATGAGTACAAGAAAATTAAAACTGAATTTTTGCATTAATGAAAATGAAAAATAAAAAGTGGATTTATGAGTATCTGATCCAAACCGCCTACTAATACGATATCGCTCAAGAAGCAGATTCATAAAAAATCAAAGTATATGTAGAGATTATAGTAGTTTTCTTTACCTTTAATTTCAAATAACATGGACTTTTGTGTGCATTTTACAAGCAAATGGATAACAAGAGTTATTATCGATAATTTGTACATAGGGGTATCAGACTGAATCTTAGTACATGAATTAGGGAACTGAAATCTAAAAATGGACTTCCAGATTGAACATAATTGTGCTACATTTTCATTGGTAAGCTGCTTTTCCATGACCAAAAAACATGCTATTAAGACTAAAAACAATTACATTAATCAAGTCAGAAATCTGAAATGGAGAGTTTTAATTTATAGTTCCGTAGAAAATTATGCGCCTAGCTTTCCAAAGATCTCATGAACAACTTAAGGTCTTCAGAATCAGATGCCAAAATTTTAACCATTAAAATTCTGCATTGACCTCAATAGTACTACCATATCATGTGTTGCACAATATGCTGAATTAGAATGGGCATTCAAAAAGGAAAAAACAGAAATTACCGTTTAAGAAGAACTTTGCCTGCTTCCTTAACATTCAATCGAGCAAGATGCTTTATTTTGTCCAGCACGTTGGCCTTGTCAGTCTTACGTTTCGGCATTTTCTGTAACTGGGTATCTTTGAAAGAAATACATATTATAATTTGATTCTTCTCCATCTTTAGATGATGCAGTAAAAGCCAGCAGCATGAATAAAAATAGTATTTGATTGAAATGAAAGTCAGTGATAGTTTACAGAAGCATCATGCAATTTGAAGTTCCATGCAGAAGTTAGCACACGATAATGTGACAACAAACTATTGAACCAAAATATGAATGAAGCAATGACGCAAGTATAAATTTCTGATTGCAAAACAAACTAATGATAAATACAAACACCATAATCACAGGCAAAGAAAAAAACATACTAGGAAATGATAACTCGTCTAAACACTACATCTTCATGTACAGGCTTGCTTTCCTGCACTAAGGATTCTTTTTTTTGCTTCAGCCAACGCTATATAATATCACAACAATTATCCAGTAGTTAAGAAAATAGCTTTACAAAAGCATATTGTATATTATGAGAAAACCTGTCTAGATATTTTCACCTAAACAACAAACCCCTGCATTGCTACAGCTTATCCTGTAAAAAAGCAAGCAAAAAGCTAAACCAAATCAAGTATAGCACAGAAAAGCCATAAAACATCATGGAGAGGCTATCTGATATCAAAAGATGCGATTAATGTAAAAATATGATTAAGTTTTGAGAAACACGTACCACAACATCCATTATGTGGAAATCCTAAGAGCAAAGTAGGAAGCGGAAAATTGCCATATGCAAGAATTATGCTTGATAAAGTTCAGGATACTAATTTGGAAAAAGATAATTATAGGGACAGTAACCAAGAAAATACTTAATGGCAGCCAACTCATGGATCAGTAGGCATTGTTAGCAGCCAATCAAGACAATAGGATGATATTCCTGCAGACATTCAAAGATAAAATTTTCTAGCATCACATGCTAATTAAATATTCTTTATAACAGTAAGCAAGGGCCACTACATCGGCGCCCGGGTGTTGTGTCAAATAAGCAAGGGTTCCCACATTACAAACGGATGCGGATAAAGAAGTTAGTCCATAAAACTAATGAAACTAATATTAAGATATGATCTTGGAATATAGGTACTCTCAATAATAAATTAATGGAATTAGTTGATATTATGATGCATAGAAAGATTAATATCTTATGTATTCAAGAAACTAAATGAATTGGAGAAAAAGTTAAGGATATTGATAACTTAGGTTTTAAACTTTGGTATTCTGGTAAAAGTCGCACTAGAAATAATGTGGGTGTAATTATAGATAAAAGTTTGAAAAATAATGTTGCAAAAATTAATAGAGTTGGAGATAGAATTATAACCCTTAAGATTATTATTGATACTAAGATTTTTAATATTATAAGTGCTTATGGTCCTCAAGTAGGTTTAGATATAGGGTCTAAAGATAAATTATGGAATGACTTTGAAGATTTAATACAAATGATGCCTCTTGAAGAAAGAATTTTTATTGGAGGAGATTTAAATGGACATGTCAGTAGAGTGGTGGAAGATTTCAGAAATATTCATGGTGTCAATGGTTTTAGAGTGACTAACGAAGAAGGTAGATTCATTTTAGATTTTGATTTAGCGTGTGATTTTGTTATTATTAATATTTTATTCAAGAACAGAGATAAACATCTTATCACTTATAAGAATGAATCTAATATAACACAATTGAATATTTTTTTATGAGAAAAACAGACTGTCGGGATTGTAAAGATTGTAAAGTTATTCCAAATGAGTATTTAAATATCCAACATCGATTATTAGTTCTAGATTTTAAGATGAAGAGTTGTAAAATATAGAATACTAGGAACCATCTTCGTAGAATTAGATGGGGGAACCTAAAAGATACAAATAAATTTATTTTTTTAAGTAAAATTCAAATTTTCAAAATTTGGGATGTTCATGAAAAAGCGAATAATATGTTGGATAAAGTAACAAATATGATTAAACAAGAAGCAAAAGATGTACTTGAAGAATCAAAAAAAAATTTTAAAAATAAAAATAGTTGGTGGAGGAATAATAATGTGCAAGAAAATATAAAATATAAGAAGATAAGTTATAAAAATTGGTTTAAATGTAAAAGCTTAGAAAACTGGGAAAAATATCAAACAGCGAACAATCTGTGGCGTTAAAATTTTGTTTTTAGTGATCTTTATACCAGATTAAATACTAAGAAGGATGAAAAATATATGTATAAACTAGCCAAACAAAAAGAAAAGAAAAATAAATATTAAACTCAAGTAAAGTGTATTAAAGATGAAAATCAAAAATTATTTTTCTTATAAATAAATGTTCAACATAGATAGATGACTTATTTTGATAAACTTTTTAATGAAGTTTATGAAAATATTATCGACCTAAGTGGTCTTAATATCTTTAATAATAATAAAAAGTTTCATTTTTACTATTGCATTAGTAAAAAAGAAGTTGATGGGGTTTTAAAGAAAAGCAAGGGTGGAAAGTCCGTAGGACCTGATGACATCCCAATTGAAGTGTGGAATTTTTTAGCAGATGTGGGAGTTTCTTGGCTTACTAAACTCTTTAATATTACTATAAAAACTAAAAAGATGCCTGAAGAGTGGAGGAAGAGTATTTTGATCCCCATTTTTAAGAATAAAGTGGATACACTAAAGTGTGAAAATTATAGAGGAATTAAGTTGATGTGTCATACTTTAAAATTATGGGAGGGGGTAATTGAACATAGGTTAAGACGTATTACAAAGATTTCTCACAATCAATTTGGATTTATGTCAGGCAGGCCTACTATGGAAGCTACACATTTATAGAGAGATTTGATAGATAAGTTCAAAGATAATAAGGATGATCTACATTTGATTTTTATTGATTTAGGAAAAGTTTACGATAAGGTTCCAGAAAAGTTTACGATAAGGTAAAAGCTTACGATAAGGTTCCTAGAGATATCCTTTGGAGAGTTCTTGAAAAGAAAGGAGTTGATATGACTAATATTCAAGTCATTACAGATATGTATACTAGAGTTGTTACAAATGTTCAAACTGAAGGAGGATTGACCAATTATTTTTCTATTTATGTTGGATTATATCAAGGATTGACTTTAAGCCCATATCTTTTTGCTTTAGTTATGAATGGTCTTGTTGGACATTTACAGGAGACTGTACCTTGGTGTATGCTTTTTGCTAAATAATCCCTCTCGTGGATAAGACGAGAGAAAAAACCCAGGAAAAACCTAAATTATAGAAGTCTACTTTGGAATCTAAAGGTCGTCATTTGATTAGAACTAAAACTGAATACATGGAATGTAATTTTAGTAGTAGTGGCTCTAGTGATAGAAGTGTAACTTTGGGTGATTAAATTATTAAAAGGTGTGAACGATTTAGATATCTTGGGTCTGTTATTCAAGGCGATGGTGATATAGATGAGGATGTTAATGGTAGAATTCAAGTTAGTTGGTTGAAGTGGAGGAATGATTCGGGTCTTTTGTGTAATAAAAAAGTACCGCTTAGACTGAAAGGAAAATTTTATAAGAGAGAAGCATAATACTAAGTTAAGTGTTGCCGAGATGAGAATGATTAGGTGGATGATTGCCTTTACACTTAGAGACAAAATGCGAAATGAATATATCCAAAATAAGGTTGGTGTAGCTCCAGTGACAGAAAAAATTAGAGAGAGTCATCTTAGATGAATTGGTCACATTAAACCTTGACCATTTGATGGTCTGATTAGGAAAGTAGATGTTTTAGATTCGACTTATGTTAATAAAGTCAGAGGTAGACCTAGGAAAACTTGGGCTTATTGTATTGATCTTAATTTATTAGAAGAAGATGAAAATATGACCCTAAATAGGACGCAATGGAGAAATAGGATTCATATAGCCGACCAAATGTAGTGGGATTAAGGCTTTGTTGTTGTTGTTATTTGCTTTTTCACTCTTTTTCTTGCCTCCCTTGCCTATGTTTTCTCTATATAAACGTGTCATTATCCTTCACTTTGGAACAAAAAAAAAACAATCAAGTCCTTCTCTTCTATGTCTGTTTATTTTAACAAAGTCTACAGCAACGAAATTTCTTTCTTAACAATAGCTAAGAGCATATAAACATTACCTTTTCCGATGAAATTTCAGGATTACAATCTAGCCAAGATATCACTTCTAAATATTAGCCCCAAGTTGTGAAGTAGTCAATGAAGATCAGTTTTATAACATGTGTTTATATTATTGAGCTATATTGAATCTTTGAAGAACATAATTAGTAAAAGAGATTAGTCAATAACAGCCTTTTATTAGATTGGAAGTCACCTTCAATCAGGGAACACCAATGTTTTCCTTCTATCAAGTCAATTAAATCAACTTTTGTCAGTTGTGCGTAAAAAACTAGTTCATGGCCTTGAATCACATTCGGGATGGGTATAAGAATACCTTGTCCCTTCTCGGCAATTGGTCGTTAAAATCACAAGAATTGCATAAATTTTTTATTAACGAAGACAAAATTGATGAATAGAGGGTACAAAACCAGCATGATAGAACTAAAATTACAGCCACTTGCTCAAACAACCAAGTAATGGAGAAGGGTTTGATTTATGAAGGCAAAGGTTAGAATTCGATCTTGGAAACAAAGAGAACGTAGAGGCAGAAATAGGAAAACAAACCAGTGATGAGGACGTGAGAGCTACAGTGTTTGCAGTAGTAGACGAAGAGATCGGATTCGGGGCCATCTGGCGCCGCATCCTCGCTCGAGTACGTGTGTGTCGTCCTCTTCGGCATTTTTCTCTCTCAGAAGACCGGCGCGCGCGCACAGAAAGACAGAGAGATAGGGGGCAGCGAGAGAAGAGCAGCGTCGGGATGATCGGGAATGCGGAGATGGAGAGAGATCGCTCGGAAACTATGTTTAGAAATGGGAGCGCATATACGGTCGGATTTCAATATTCTGTCTTATGGTAATATTTGGCTGTGTTTAATCAGCATTATTTATAAAAAAAATGTAGTATTATTTAAATATTATGTGATGTTATTTCATTTTTTTACGTTGTTTTTAGAATATTTCTTCACATTACTTGATTTGGGGTTATCTTATTTGACATATTTCTCATGTTATTTCAATTTCTCTTATGTCAAATCAAATAACTGTGGAATATTTCAATAACATTTCATTTTTCACAAATAACGTTGATGAAATATTCCTATAACATAGCGAGATATTTCTATAATTGATTAGTTGGAAACCAAAATTACTTTTTTTTTTTTTTATTTGAATTGGATTGGATTCGATAAATTCAATGATAAATTTTATTTAAGTGATATCAAACACTCCCCTGAAAATTAAGGTTCTTCCCTTGGGTGGCCTCGGATAAGCTTGTCAATATCTATGTTTTATCATCATAATTGTATGAAACGATGATTTTATGCGAAAACAATAAACTAAGTCCTGCATTTATTATTAAATATAAATAAATTTTAAAATTAATTTTCACAAAAACAAATAAAACCAAAATAGAGCGTGATTACAAAGTAAAGCAGAAATCTCTTGTTGTTGTTGTTGTTATTATTATTATTATTATTTTATTGTCATATCATAAATTTCATATATAAAAAAAATGTATGTGCATTGCACCCTGTGTACATATCTAACCTTTATTTGAGAAGCACAAACGGCTTACCATTTCATAATAACCCCCTAATTAGATTAGGGTTTATTTTTTTCAATTATTATTTAATATTAATTGCATTTTATTAAATATTGTGTAAATTTCTTTTAAAATTAAAAGGTTTATGTTGATATGCTGCCCAAATTATTTGTTAAATTTGTAACATAGCCAAAATTTTTTAGAATGATGTCCATATTTTTTATTAAATTGTTTGTGATATATCGAAATGTTTTCCTTCATTTTCCTAAATTATCATCGGCATATCGAAATGCAGTCCGTCGTTTTCCTAAATTATCTACGACATGTTGAAATGCTGCTCGCATTATTTTTAAAATTTAACTATGCTGTGAATAATAATAATTAATTAATTTTCTATTTATGCAATTAAATTTTTTTATTAACCAAAAAAACTTGAACATTATATTGATTTGTTTATTGTCTTGAAACCCGACGGCGCAGGATTACTTGTCCAAAGGAGGTTGAAATAATACATAACATGTCTAGTGTAACAATTAATCATAGAGATCTTATATAATTATATTTAATAATTTTTTTATTTAATATTTTTCAAAAAAAATTATTAAAATCACTTATTCACTCAATATATAATCATTCATTAAAAAGAATTTTATCCTAATTTTTTATGTATTTTACTCTCATGTACTTCTGCCCTATATTCTCATGTTCTCATAAAAAGTTGTATGGTATTATGCGGGATAATACTTTTCGCGTGTCGTCAGGATCTTATCATCCACTTCTTCGTTAGCGGGTACGAGAATGCTTTAATTTTATCAAATTTTGTGGTTATGAATGTTTTTTTTCCGCTGCATATCACTTTTTATTTCATACATGTATTTATTACAAACTATTGTATCATGATAGTCAACACTTTTATTAAATGTTCTTTAGAACATTTTCTCTTAGTATGGTAACACAAATTAGAATAATTTTTGGGGATATATGGGCAGGAATTACAGTGCATTTGATGCTACATAGAACTTTGTCTAAAAAGCCTAAACTGCCTAAGGAGAGCTTGAAATGTAAGTGATTTTTGTACCTCTCAGCACGTAAAAGTTTTTATAGCTACAAATGTATTTTTTTCATTGCATATTATCATGATAGTCAACGTTTTTTATTAAATAAGTGTTTTTTAAAACCTTTTCCTCTTAGTATGATAGCACAAATTAAAACTCCAACCTAAAAAGAAGAGAAATATAGAATGCAATGTACTTACAACCCTGCCTGGAAAAGGGTTGTCATCTAAACCACCTAACGCATTCAAAGTCATGCATAGCCGGTCTCGATGATGCAATATAGGGTGGGTTATTATTTATTACGAATTTATTATGAATCAAAAGGCCTAAGTATGTATGATATGCATAATATTCTAAGACTAATGCTAATATATCTTTGAAATTAAATGTTTTAATGTTTCACCACACTCAAATATTATATTATGTTAAGTCCTAATGCTAGGTGCACCAAAGGTTCTGTAATAGATTATGGAAGTCCTTGATGATGAATGTTTAGAAGATTTGTTCAAAAGGTGAATCAATATACATAGGTAGAACTCACTCTATAAGGCATTGGTTCTCATGGGTCGAACTGCCCCTTTCCGTGCAATGAGTGAGGGCCTAAAAACAGCGAGTAAAAGTAATATGTAATGCATATGCTATAAGTCATATTTTCGTTCATATTCCTAAATCGAAAACAAGTTTCTACTAAGTTTTATTTAAAATCAATCAAAGTTGTCTTAAATACATGTTATTTCTATAGTTATGAATGCAATGATTTATGTGGTTTAGTTTTGGTTATGAGTTTTGTTTTGAAAAATTAAGTTGAAGTTGTTTAGGTTGGGGGTGGGGTGAAAGTTTAATCCCTAGGTGCGTCTACCGACTATCCAGGTAAAAGGTAGAAATATAAATATCGGTCTACAATGTGGGCAAACCTATTGAACAGACATGGACAAATTGACAGTATGGTTGTCAATCCTAAATCTATGTCAAACTCGTCAACAAACAACATTTGAACTAAGGTTGATAGTTTAGTTGATGTTTATCCTTCACGTTTTGTTTCATCTTCGTTTGGATAATTTAGTTGTTTATAATCAATTGACCATAACACTTCTTAACTCTATAAAGGAAGAGAAGACTCAAAAGATAGATCATAGATTACTACAACAACTTACTTACTTTATAGCAGCCCTGTAAACACAGGGTTAGCACACTCTAAAAACATGTAAAGTAAATATAAGACAACCGTTAACTTATTAACCCTACAAAACAAAGTTAGGGTGTTTTATCACTATTGAAAGTAAGAGAGACAAATGTATTTTTTTATTTGATTACTAATGAGTTAATTATTATGCTTTTTATTTAGGACAACCCGGTCAAGCTGCCCATGACTTTTCGTCGTACTGGGGCTGTCGAGTTTCCTGATTTACTTAGCTCAAATAGGCAGTTCGACCAGAAGATTCTTGTCAACAACCATGGGTTATGTCATCTAAGAGATCTTAGTAGACCCAGGTAGCAGGTTTGAAGTTGCGTTCAGTGATCAAAGTTTCATTTTAAGTCTCAGTGTTTTTTTTTAAATTCAATGGTTTGAAAATTTTAGGTTGCTTAAAACTTCTTAGTCAATCTATATTTTTTTGTGATTTTTATTATTTTGTTTTGGGACGGCCCGATCAAGAACTCATGGTTCTGTCATCTTTGGGTCGTTAGGGTTTATGATTTGATTGGTCACAAGTGACCGAAAAAAAGACCTTTATTAGCAACCATGTGTTGCCTCCTTCAAAGCTCCTTCTCAAACTAAGTTTGGTTTTAGGATGTAAGTTTTAGTAGTTTTTATGGTGTGTTTTATGAGTTAAGTTTGTAATTTGCAACTTTTGCTTTTTAACCCTCTTTGTCTCCCAAGTTAGGTTTGTTTAAAAATGTTTTAAGTGATGTGAGCTTTTATTCTCTTAGGAGAAGTAAACCAAACCCTGACTCCTAATTAATTCATTTTAAGTTTCGTGGGTTTGTGAACTTTTAAGAACATGTTTATCATGTGGTTGATAAATGATGTACTTAATTGTTTAAAAAGTTTGTTCTGTGAAAGTATACTCTTGATTCAAGATGATCTTGAGTATGACTTCATATGTTTAAAAATGTTTAATTAGATGATTTAAATGTAAGGATTTCTTTTATTATTTCAACTTGAGGATTGTTTGATTCATTAGTTAATCATTTTTAAGGAAGGATTAATGAGTTAATGCCTTGATTTGAATTAAGGTTTGCTTAATTCATTAATCTCCTTAAGCAAGTTAACGAAAAACTATTTTTTTTTTTGAATTAAGTTTGTTTTAATTCATTTGTCCCTTTAGCAATTTAATCAGTTAGTATCTTTTATTAATAATTGTTTTCAACTTTTATTCTTCTAAAGTATTTTAAAGAAAGATTATTAAAGTTATTTAATTCATTAATATTCCAAAGGAGATATTAATGACTTAATGCTTTAACTTGGGTTTAATTCACCAATTTTTTTAACTATGCGAAGGAGGAACTACTGAGTTGATTAGTTCATTAGTCTTCTTAAATATTTTAAGATAGAAATTAATGAATTAAAATTTTAGTTTGAATTAAGATTTTCAATTTTATTATTAAATGAGGGTGAACATATAATTAGGGATAATTATGAAGTTAACTCCCCTTAACCCTTTGATTATCTTAATGTTTTCCTTAGGTCCTAAATTTAGGGTTACTAAGTTGTTTTTTAGTGTTTATGTATGTTTAAGGAGATAAAAGGGCTACTATGCAAGATTTACAAATTACAAACCCACACTCAATGTATTAATTTTATTTTTAAAATTTTCAGAGATGGAAATTATAATGTTGTTAAAGGAAATCACTGTCCTAATTTCCCTTGCTAAATTCCATCTGAAATTTTATTTTTCTGATTAATATTTTATTTTTATAATTATTTTACAAAATAATCATAATTTTGATAGAAAATTAAGACTTTTTGTGTTACGAAAGTCCTCTGCCCTCGAAAAAAATCAATGAAGATTCCGAAGGATAGAGAGAATAATCCTTCAAATTTTCGTTATTTTAAATCTTATATTTAATTTTTAATAATTAATACACTTTATGAAGTATTTAATTAAATTAAAATTAAATATAAGTTAATTAATTTAATTTTTTATGTTCATTATTTTCTCCACTGTTTACTTAATATGAGGGTATTTTTATTTTATTTTTATACTTTTACTTCACAGAGATGTGAATTTTTAAAGTTTAAATGGGTTTCTTAGGATTTATTTAATTTGAAAATTTAGAATTTCTTATTTAAACATGGGGGTGTCGCATCATTCCTTGTACCTGTCGAAGCTCCACGCAACACTCTTCAATTCGTTCACGCGATTTCATCCTCCGGCTTGTTCTCAGCCATGAAGCTCCACGCAACACTCTTCAATTTGTTGTGCTTTCCATGTGCGCCACCTTGCTAGCCTCGATCCAGTGTGTTGATTCACGCGATTTCATCCTCCGGCTTGTTCTCAGCCACTCGTTTCAAATAGCGGAGATCCAACGACACTACATCAATGTCCCCAATGCCCCCTAATATTTCTACCATACGTGTTCAAACCCTAAAATAGCATGCTACACCTAACCAAATCCCTTGGGGTTTGATCCTATAGCTTCATCTAAGTGAGGCGAACATATTCATACAGGTAAGTGGGTATGCATTGTTGTTTTGCTTCACAAAGGAAGAAACTGATGCCAAAAATGGTGATTTCGAGCCATTTCCTTATCCCAAGTGGTGAGGTCTCGATTGGGTTTGTGGAAACAATCATCTTGGACATGTGCACCTCCTCCTCATTCCAATTTGTGGTGAAGTTGGTCCTAGCTATGAGCTAGACCAAATGGGGGCACATGTTGGTGTTAGGCTATTGTGAAGAGTGCGGGAAGGGTGGGTTTTGATCATAAAGGATGTTTTAGGACCGTGGGAAGCTAAGAGAAGGGTTTAAATGAAGTTTTGAGGGAGTGTGTCAAAGCCATAAAAAGCCCTGGATTTTAGAGGGGAAATTAAGGTTGTGTGGTGGTCGGAGTGCCTTTAGGATGATGGGATTGGGACACTTTGGTATGTGGGAGGCTTTTTGTTGTTAAAGACTAAGGGTTTGGGTTGCTGGTTGGTGGACTTGAGCGTATTTCGAGGTTCTCGGGTTGGGGCCTTTTTATAGTCATGAGAGGCCATAGGAGAGGCTTTGGTGTTCTTGGGGAACTTTGGTGGATCTTCAGAGCTTGAGCAGAGGGAAGAAGATGGCTTGGGTAGAGGTAAAGAAGCTTTCCCCATTTTTTATGCATCGAGCATAATGGAGCTCCAATGGCAATGAATGTGTCATGGCAAGGCCTATAGTTGATTGGGGAGGGTTTGGACTTGGGGGCTTGACACAGTTTTGGTCATCTATGACTCACCTTAAATTTGATTTGGGTTGGTTTAACCAAGGTGACACTTGGTGGCTCTCTTGGTCAAGTGTGCATGGCTTGCCTTTTAGTGTTTTTTTCTTTATGCTTAATTTACTTTTATTAATTTTTATTTGGGTTGCAGTGTCATGAGAGGTTATTTGGGTATGTGAGTCAT